ATACATAATCTTGCCGAATATGACCACCTTTCCGAATAGAATTAAAATTTTAGTCTATTCAAGATCGATCTGATGCAAAATTGCCTTTTATTCTACGACGAAGTCGATGAAAAACAGTTGTGATTATATTGGAAAAAAATCTCTCACTGGTTGATCCAAAGTCATCGTACTCAAAATTGTTACTAAGATAACTATGAGCTTTATAGAATATTTCATCCAATTACTAATGGGCAATTGTATTCACGAACTTTTTCAGAGGATGAACTTTGGTCAGTAGCGATGCATGTCGAAAGATGAAGCAAAATATATAGTTCTTTCAGCGTGAAAGCCATATTCTTTATAGCATAAGGTCAAATTTCGAAATGATCCAAAAGACAGTTCTTAATTGATACTACTCAACACATTGAATCGAATATTTGGAATGGTTTTTTCCATAGTTATTAATTTGCTGCTTCTCTCTTGGGTGATGTCTTTTTTTTTATCAACGATGATTCGATTACGAACCATAAAGTAGAATGAATTTGTTCGTCTATCGTTTACTCTAATTCATCAGCTATTCTCTTGAATAAATGTTTTCATGTCTTGAAGAATCCTGTTGAACGAAAAGGCTGAGAATTGATAGTGCTAGTTTTATCATCGTGGTCGTCCAACAAAAATATAGTTCAAAGACGTTGCAAAAAAATTAGACTAGCAGCTTTCGAATCGTCATCAAAAGATAAATCACTGCACTATAGACAAGCTCATTCAAGCAGAAAAAGTAGGCACACTACAAAAATTTCAATAATTATTAAAAGAAAAACGGAAAAGCAAACTATTTGCACGAGTTCAATGATCAACACAATTTGATTCACAAGCAGTAGAGAATCACACAATGGCTCACTAAAATATATATAAATTGATATTTCTAGATATATGTGCGTTCGATTTCACGAGTAGGGCAAATGAACGTCGTTTCAGGTGAAGGGCTGCGCAGATAATTCAATGACTGATGGATAATGTGCTTATATTCAGGACGTGTTGGAAATGTAGGTTCCTGATAAATATTGTTGCCAATGCCATTGAGCAAGTATCTTTGAACAAGATCATCCTAAACAGAAAAATCCATTTAATATTATCGATGATTGAATAAAGATTCCAGTCATTTTCTAGAAGCATGTTATTTATCTGTTGTTAGCCAATGAATTCAAAGAAGAAGTAATATCTTATCGAGAAAGAGTTTATGCGGTAGAAGAATTTAACATGACCAAATAACAAATGAGAGTTGATCCATTCGTTTGGTTTAATCAACAAAAGTTCAAAACAATGATCAAAAGTTCCATTTTATATAATCATAATGTTCATTTATTTCAGAAAAAAAAATGAAAGTCTATACATGTAAAATGCATTTCTTGATTTCAAGCAAACTACAAGTTTAAAATGCCACAAGTTACTCACTCCGTTTAACTAGTTTGATTCACACCTCTTGTGGCGCGATGATTGTCCGCTAACGAATATTGAATTGAATTTCAACATGGTTATCAGGCAGAATGGAATATTTGCGCACAAGTTTTGTCAACGGAATCTTCATCTCAAGTTATGTCGTGGACCTGCTTCAACTGATAGATAAGTCATCGAATGACATTTTGTTTCATGACGTTCGAATCTTCAGGACTCCGAAGTTCACGGTTGTACGGAAATAAATAGACATCAACATGTACTATGGAACTTGTTAAGAATAAACATACTTAGTTTGATAAAAGCAAGACGAATGAGCGGATGGATTAGGCTATGTCGTCATACATTAACTTTTCGACATTTTGCGTTAGAACTATACCATGGTATGCCTAAAAACATATATACACGCTCACAAGAAACAATTTTCAACTGGTAGACACTGTGCGATGCTACGTATATTTTGGTTATGAGTAATTCCCTACGAAGCTAGGAAAATGGTTGAATGCTTTTGGAATATTGTCAGTCTGTCGAGCGTTATGATAACTTGTCTGAATATCTGACCCATATCTCGAGGCATTTAGCTAACTATGAAATAATAAATGATTTTTGCCTATGGATAGATTTATTTGTACTGAGGTTATCCTAGAAATCTCAGTCAAAACAAATGTTCCTTTATGAGAATATTGTATTTTCAAAAAAGATAGTAATTTCCTGTAGACAGATCACAGAAAATATGTGTTTACTTTAGAATTCAATATTCGATAACACACATTCGTTTTGGGTAAACTTTTTGGGTATGCTCATGGCAATATAACCTATTTGAGGTTATATTGTTAAAAAAACGTTCATAATTCCTGCTCAGTAGACTCTTTGATCAGGCATTCAACTGATCTGATTTTTTCACGATCGGAACTAATACCAATCAATGAGCTCGCGTCGAACTCAACCGATCGGTGCATTGACTTGTGATGGGTGAACCAGCAGCTAAATAGAAGAATCAAAGTTTTCCTTTGTCAATGTTTTTATGGCTTTTTTTACAGACTTTTCTGAACACATCTACCACTCAGCAGGATAAAAAACCGCAGTTTATATTTAAAAAATATTATGTTTACTGATTTTTTTGTACGAGACTACTGAACTCAGTTTGATAAGTATTCTTAACAGAGGCATAAGAAAAAATCAAACAGGCAATTGGTAGGTTACTGATAAATCGACCGATCTGAATCTGTACCGGGCTGTTTCTTTCTCTTTATTCGACTCGAACCATGTTTCGTCTTTTCCTAGTCTCACGGAGATCTACTTCTAGCTGAAACATGAGCGTTGAACGTTTTCCGGTCATTTGGAATATTTCGCCGTTCGTTTTAAGAATTATTTCTACAAGATTTGTAAGACTGAAAGTCCTCTACAAAGTTTAATGAACAATCCGCGCTTCTTTTTTCCAGCTTGAAGTGACCAGTTCTCATGTAAAAAAATGTCCTCAATATTCACTAAATAACCGATTCAAAATTGATTATTTTTTGATTATTGAGGAAATTGTTTTACATAAATACCGTCCACACCCACACTGACATTTCATCCTTAATAAGTTATAAATAATCGAGCCGTTAGGTTGACTGGTTTCATGTGTACATCGTTAGTTAGCTAGCAACGATTGTAATTTAAGATATATGGTATTTAGGTGTACTATAGTAGATGTGACACGCTGTTGATGATCAATTACCGAGGGGCTACCGGGACGATTTTTACGAGATCTATTGTTTCTACGGGATTTATTTGTTTACTGAGGGTTTATTAATAATGATGATATTTCAGCACACCCACACCCTTGGGTACTTATTGATTAGTCCAAATGAATCTCGAAAAAATAAGTCTCGATAGCTATATTGGGAAACTGTTTTCTCGACTCATTTGGGGTGTGGGTGTTAGTTTGGGTATAGATCTTGTCTTCAACGATACCCACACCATACACCTACGTTCTCTTTGAATTTTTGGTCTGAGTCGTACATTCACGTTTCACTTTACTCATATTCTTTTAATCAAATAGTTCCGATCATGTACAGAATGAAAACTAAATGGCCAATGGAAATCATAAATCTTACATAAAAGATTCTCTGATATATGCTGTCAAGTAAATATGGAAGACAGAATTGAGTTTTCATACATTTTAGTTCAAAAAACAAAAGAAAAAATCTTTATAAGTGATTTTCTTAATGCATGAATGGATGTAACGCACTAAAACGTGCTTTTTTCCGATGACTCCACTTGAATGCATTGACTAGACAAATTGCATGATCAAACTCATTGAATGTTAAGATACGTGTATTTTAAAGAAAATATATGACCAAAAAAAACTGTAGTCACTTGTTGCATACCTTTGTTTAACATTTTCTTGAGAAAAATACACTTTATTAATCTTCAGAATCTTTGATTTCATTTACAAATCGCTCATATACAGTACCTACCCATCGTGTTAGGTAATGGTCATAGAAAAACCTTCTCGAAGGTTTTCGAAGAAATTGAAATGTGACAAATATTGTCAATGGAGAAACTTATCGAAAATCTAATGTAAAAGCCTAAAATATTATTGTAAAAACTTTTTTAATAAATACAGTGTACCGAAATACACTGATCTACGTGATAAAATTGCAAAATAATACTTGACAATATTTTTAAAGAGCCCAAAAGCTAAACCCTTCATATGAATTAGTAAATGATAAACATTCTATTAAAACAACAAGAAGTATGTCAAGCATAAATAATTTTGGCGGCATCAATGAATATCTCGAATTTCAAACTTTGAAATAGTTTCGAGTATTGAAAATTATTCCGGGCAGTCAAAAATATCTTTCCGATATGTTGGCCATCTTTGTGGGGTAGAAATTTCTATGGAATCTATGTAATCGAAATATATGACCGAGAATTTGAAAATTGAACATAGAAAGCTAAAAATAGTTATATCAAACTTTCTATCACTCGTCACACCCATTGCATGCTTCTTAAGATTTGCTTGAGTGGAATCATATCGAATATATTACATATGAAATATGTAGAATTTGATGGCTCCAAAAATAAGATAAGGCAAAGAATCGAACAGAAAGCATGAAATCCTTAGATAAATGCGATGATTTCTAAATCTCAATAGAAAATTTTTTGATCATGTTGCTAGAAACATAACTCGATTTTTCACAAACCTTCAATGAAAACTTCCCGTAGTTCGTGCCTAAAAAATAAAGGAGGAGTGGTGCTAAAGCCATTTTTCATTCCGCAATATTTTTGAAAAAAAATTGTATGGCTAGTATCAGCATTCTATTTTGAGCATAGGATTATTGGCGGTGGTCCTCTAAAGGGGACCTTCAAAAAAAATTTTTTTTGTTCCAATTTTGGTCATGTATAGGTTATCGGCATTGCTAATCACGAATATCATATTGATTCTGCTTTAAAATGTTAGAGGAGATCAAAAAACGGTGAAAAACCGTTGGTATCTGAAAGACACTATTGTCGATCTTTTTTTAGTTTCTGACCGATTTTGACTCTAAAAACCGATATAAGACAATAGAAAGATCATTTTCATGAACAAAATTAGTTGCTCTACTCAAACTATACGAAATTAGAACTTTAAAAAAAGGGGTGTGGTTGTGAGTGAGTTGCCGGATCTCTCTTCAGTTGCAGACATCTAACATTCACACCCTAATTATGTCTTCTATTTGAAATTATAGCGGTACCCCCCTGAAATCGTATTATTTCTAACCCTGTACTTGTTGAAGAAATAGCATGTATGACAGTACATTTTTCGTATTTAATCGACATAATCAATCATAGGTTCAGTCAAATTTCATGATTTTGTTCTGTTGATGTTTTGCTTCATCAACTTTCAGCCTTGGAAAAGAAAGAACACCATAAATAGGTTAACCATTAAAGATGGTATGATATCTTCACGCACTGTATATGCATTCATAAAATGACTTTTAAGAGAGAAATTCTATATTATTGAGTGCCATGCTAATATTCGAGGTATTCATTGAAAAAAGAATTTTCTTTTTTTTTCTGTACATTCAACACATTAATGTTTGAAACTATAAATCCCAAAATTCAAACTTCCAATAGTCTTTCTTTTAAAAGTTAGTCAAAGTTGACACTTTACTATTATTATATCTTTATAAAAAAGATAGCGAAAATTTCCTGTAAAAGTTGTTGTACTCATTCCCATTTGAATGAATTATTCAAATTTGTTTATAAAGTATACGAAAAGACACAGCATTACAATGTGAATGTGCGATCTCTTGATGCTCTTCTCTCTTATCAACATTCACAAGCTAACCAAATACATTCCAAACTGTTCATATCTACACCTACTTCAAAAATTATTCGTATTCTTATATCGTTGTGTGTCAAGAGCTTGAAAGGCGACAATATTATCATTGGCATTCACTTATGCAATACAGTTTAAAATCGTTCTGCATTGTCCGTTCATTCATGTGTTTCTCTCTCTCTAAAACACGGTATTCCATTAAGGTTGATGAAATTGCAAGTAAATCATATCGACAATCAGGAGAATTTATTAGCTTCGAAAACTACTGTATTTTATTGACAGTCTATACTTTTTATTTATTTTTTTTATCAATCTAGTTTCATAAAAAATAATAATGAATGAGTCATTTATCGAGTAAGAACACTAATATTCGTACAAAAGTTATTCTACTGTTCAAAATTCATGGACTTTTGGCCAATTCCATGTTCGTGGCAATGTTTCTTTATATTCGGCTATATACTGATGTAATTTAATGAATTCATCCAAATCGTTGGGCTTAGGATAGAGAGCAGCCAAATTATTAGCATAAGCATATTCAGCAATGTTGACAGCGATACTTCGTGATACATCATGGATCTTTTCAATAGATGGATACATGAGGCCAACAGCTAGATCTTCTTGCGTCACTAGATCTGAGAGAGTTTTTGCAGCAATATAAAATATTTCTTCGGGTACATGTCGAATAAGGCAGGTCACAACAGCCAAAGCGACACCGGGAAATATGTAACAATTGTTACCTTGACCAGGCACATAGGTTTTACCTTGGTACTCGACATTTGGAAATGGTGAACCTGAGATGAATATACATTGACCATTGGTAGCTTCATAGGCTTCCTGAGCTGTACATTCGGCTTTCGATGTGGGATTCGAAAGTGCAAAAATGACGGGATGCTTGTTGAATGACGCCATCTTTTCAAGAATCTCACGTGTGAATGAAGGTCCTTGCCCAGCAGCACCTATTAAAAAACGAACAGCGATTGAGACAAAAATTGACTTCATCAATCAAATACCAATGAGAAATGTTGGTTTGATTGCATCAATAATATCAGTGAGTTTAGTAATTGGTTCTCGCTCGTGTGCATAGCGCATCTTTTCCTTATTCAATCCACCCGTTGGACGATTCTAAATAGTGAACATCTTAGTTCGTTGGTAAACTATGAAGAAGATAATCATCTACCTTGACAATCAGTCCCTTTGAATCGACTAAGTAGATCCTCTTTCGAGCCTCTTCAGCCGATACTCCTTCACGTTCCATGGCTAGCATGAGTAAGTCCGATATACCAATAGATGCCTAGTAGAGAGAAATAACTATCGATCACAAGAAAAAAATGAGAAAATATTACTGACTTCACCGGCTCCATAGAAGACAAATATATTGTCAGCCAATTTTCGTTGGGTGATTCGAATCGAACTGAGAATGCCAGCGATAGCTACACTAGCTGTACCTTGAATATCATCATTGAATGTGCAATATCCATCTCGATATTTTGCCAAAAAGCGAAATGCATTGTGATTCTATTAAAAAGAAATAATTATAAATTTTAATCAACAAAAACATAGTAGTTGAATGAAGTTTACCGCAAAATCTTCGAATTGAATCAAGCATTGACGTCCAAACCTATAATCAGAAAAGAAAATGGATCAAGCATCGAAAATAACCCAAGGATAATTGAATGTTACCGTTGAGTAACTGCTTGCATGAATTCATCAATAAAATCATCGTATTCTTTGCCGGTAATACGTTTTCGTCGCAAGCCCAAATAATACCTATCGTTGAGGAGCGTCTAAACCGTTTGCTTAGCATATATATATATATATACGTGTAGATTAGCAATGAGCAAATATTTGGTTACTTCATTATTTGTGCCCACGTCGAGCATCATTGGTAAACAGTATTGAGGTGGAACACCAGCCAATGCTGTATACAAACTTAATTTACCTACAGGAATACCCATACCATGGCAACCCAAATCACCCAAGCCTAATATACGCTCGCCATCAGTAACTACAATTGCCTATATGAACAACACATTATGTTTTTGCTGTTCGAAGCAAACAGATTTTAACTTACTCGAATATCGTTTTCAGGCCAATTTATTAGAGTATCGTAAATGTGACCTTTGTCTTGAATCGATAAAAACACACCTCTTAATAAACATTAGTATCACTTAGTTATTCGTGCTTTTATTTTGTTCAACGACTCACTTCGGTTTTGCAAATATCAAACCATACTTCTGACAGGCCAATCCAACAGTCGGTGTATAGATCAAAGGCATAGTCTCCTGAGTATGCTGCATGACTACACGATAGAACAATGTCTCGTTTCGATCTTGTAGAGCAAGTAAGGAAATGTATCGTGATAAATCATCGGGCATATGGCGTAAATTTTCCATAAATCGTTCAACTTGTAGTTCAAGAGTGGCAATGGACGGTGGCAAAAGACCATGAATACGCAATACTTGTCGTTCTTCGATTGTGAAAGCAGTACCCTACAAAACGAGAAATATATTGATTTGTCATAAACAGTACAAGAATCTCACTGACTTTATCGGTGCGTCCATCGAGCAGAACATCTCGGCCAGTTAGAAGGTGACGAGATGACGTTGATTTTTTGTCAGTTCTTTCATTCTTATATCTCTCTAGAAATACAGCGGGACTCATGTTATGATATTCACAGTAGAAAAAATATGAATCATATATCAATGCATTTTTTTTAATTTATAGAGAATCTCTCATTAGTAAAGCATAGGTATATAACATTAAGAAAACATACCAACGAAATGTATTGCTGAAGTTGAGAAGCTACGAACACCAATATTTAATACAGAGCATCCTACTGATAGGGATACTGGCCATAAACGGGTGATGGTATGCATTTTGGCGTTGTCGACAATAAACTAAACGATAAGAGTTGTCTTTCCTTTTAAGTCTATCGTTGTTGAGGCAGATGAAAATGTTTGACTTTTTTCTCTTTCTATTTTGTAACTATAGACGTGTCAGTACACAGAGAACAGACAAAGAAAACGAAATACAGATTTACATAACCTTGTCTATAAAAACATAAAAGAGACAACAAGAAAATGGCAATTGTTTGTGCTTTTGATATCAATTCGTATCCTATCGACTTCAGGTGCAATTATAAATAGTTTGAGTAAATTTTGTAGCTGAAATTAATTTTAAATCCTATTCATTTTCGTTTTTTAAATAAAATTATTTTTCAATATCACTCTTTATTATGACTACCAACGACTCACGTTATCAGAAAAAAATCGAAGACAATTTTCTTATTGATACATCTTTCAAACATCTAGTTTGTTGGAATGATCCGAATTACGAGCGAACTAGATGCAAATAACAAGTATTTTACTCACAAATGAAAAATATGACAAACTAGAATTATTTCGAAGTTTAACTACGAAATGGTCACTATTCAACTAGACAAGATGATTTCATGGACGGATAGTATCTGTCTTCTTACTCTGTCCTTTATTCACAATATTTTCTATCATCCTCTTTTGTATATAAACTCATGTTCTATATGAACTAGATACAACTGGATTGATGAGCTAATGTAAAGAACTTTTCTGCCAAGAATAATGGCAGTGCTTCTCTTTCAGTATGTCATGTTGATCATCGATGTGAAGCTAGCACGATACGACGAATTACCACGACGAGATACGAAAGTATATAGGTCGTTTGAATAACCAATCAGAAAATCAAAAACAAAAACCATCAATGTGGAGGTCAACGATTCGGCCATGTCGGCCTTAGCAACAGAAATAAGTGTGAAGCTAGCACGACGATAAAAAAAGCACACGATTTTGAAAAAAAAACGATCTGTGCACNATTTCGGTTACTAGCTTTCAAGTCTGATAAGGGGCCATCCATAAAGGACGTCCAGTGAAAAGAGCGGAGAAGAAGGAGTCCGGCGAAGCTGGACGTCCGAAAAATCAGCTTTCAAATTTTTATTTTATGCTTTTAAATTTTCTCTGAAAATATCGCTTTCGTGAGTGTGAAGTTATCGAAGCGCGTTTCATTTGTTTGATCTAACAACCAAGGTCCTTGGTACCGTTATTTACTAAGCCCATATTGATTTTATTTATTCAAGTTCTACCATTATATATTTTTTTTGCAAAAGTGAATATCTCGTCCAGCACCATCCATTTTATTTACTGGAAATCAGAGAGCTTTTCCGGCTACTGAATTTGTTGGAGATTGAAAACTCGTATGATTAGTGCTATAAGGTTAATAGAGTTTTTCATGTTTTCGTCTTTTTGTATCTGCTATAGAGAGACTCTTTTCTGTGAATACCTATGATTTAATAGTGATTTTAATCGAAGTTATTCATTATAAATCTATGATTCAGAAGCTTCTTTTCGATTTGGAGCTGATGTTAAATATCTTCCTGTTCCTAAATCTGCTTTTACTTAATGGTCAATCAAAGTGGGAACACTTAGCGTTAATAGAGTCGTACTCGTCTGCTTTGATTTAAATGTACTTTTCTTTGGACAATATATCACATAAATGAGTTATGTTCAATAACAATTCTCAAATTTATTCATTTTATGTCAACGTGTTAAAACGCATTCAATTGTCTAATATATCGATTGTATAGGTTGTAACGTACTCATAGACCCAATATTTTCATTAAACTGGTGAAAACGTGTTGACAGCAAAAATTTACCGTTTTCACGCTTGGAATTCTTTAATTTGTCGAGTGAACGAGTTTTAAAGTGTTAGTTTCTTCAGTTTTCAGCTTCAACGCGTGAAAACAACGTTCGTAACGTTTATCTGTCTGCATGGATACTATCTAATTGAAAAATAAATAAAAAAATTTTGAAAAAGTAAAATGTCAATGGACGATTCTCCATTTGTCCTCTCCTTGATTACGCCACTGCCACTATCCTATCCTTATAAAAAACAAAATTTCCTTTAAAAGTTGTGCTCGTTTTCACTTCGATGAATTTTTTAAATTTTTTTATAAATTATACTAAGAGACAGACAATTAGAATGTAGATGTGCGATCTATGCATGTCGTCCACTCTCATCGACATTCACAAGCCTACCTAATAAATTCCGAGCAATCCACATCCACACCTACTCAACAATTATTCGTATTCACATATCGTTACATGTGAATAGCTTAGATGGCAGCAATATTACGATTTACATTGGCTCATTCAATACAGTTTAAAATCAATCTGCATTATCTATTCATTCATGTTTTTTTTGTCTCTAAAACACTGTATTCCATTAATGCTAATGAAATTGCAAGCCATTTATATCGACAATCAAGAGAAAATTACTTTCAAAAAGCCATTGTATTTTATCGACAGTCTACATATTTTATTTATTCAAATAATTTAGTTTCGTGAAAAACAAGAGTAAATTAGTCAGCTATCGAGTAAGAGCATTAATATCCGTATAAAAGTTATTCAACTGTTCAAATTAATTCATTTTTGGCCAATCCCATTGTCGTGGCAATATTTCATGATATTCGGCTGTATACTGATTTGATTTAATGAATTCATCCATGTCGTTGGGCTTGGGATAGAGAGAAGCCAGATTATTATCAAAAGCATAATCAGCAAGCTTGACAGCGATACTTCGTGATACATCACGAATCTTTTCAATAGATGGATATACAAGACCAATAGCTAGATCTTCTTCTGTTACGAGATCTGAGAGAGTTTTTGCAGCAATATAAAATATTTCTTCAGGTATATGTCGAATACGGCAGGTCACAACAGCCAAGGCGACACCAGGAAATATATATGAATTGTTGCCTTGACCAGAAACATAGGTTTTGCCTTGATATTCGACATTTGGAAAAGGTGAACCTGAGGCAAATACACATTGACCATTGGTAGCTTCATAGGCTTCTTGAGCTGTACATTCGGCTTTTGATGTAGGATTCGAAAGTGCAAAGATGACGGGATGCTTGTTGAATGACGCCATCTTTTTGAGAATCTCACGTGTGAATGCAGGTCCTTTTCCAGCAGCACCTACGAGAAAACGAACAACAATTGAGAAAAAAAACCGATTCAATCAATCGAATACCGATGAGAAATGTCGGTTTGATTGCATCAATAACATCGACCAATTTAGTAACTGGTTCTCGGTCATGTGCATAGCGCTTCTTTTCTTCGCTCAATCCACCCGTCGGACGATTCTTATAGTGAACATCTTAGTTCGCTAGGAAACTATGAAGAAGAAAATCTACCTTGACAATCAGTCCCTTGGAATCAACTAAGAAGATTTTCTTCCGAGCCTCTTCAACAGATAATCCTTCACGTTTCATGGCCAAAACGAGTAAGTCCGATATACCGATAGATGCCTAGTAGAGAGAAATAAATATAGATCACAAAAAAAATGAGGAAACGTGACTGACTTCACCGGCCCCATAGAAGACAAATGTGTTGTCAGCCAATTTTCGTTGGGTGATTCGAATCGAACTGAGAATACCAGCGACAGCTACACTAGCCGTACCTTGAATATCATCATTGAATGTGCAATATTCATTTCGATATTTTGCCAACATTCGAAATGCATTGTGATTCTGTTAAAAAGAAAAAAATACAAATTTTTTGGATAAAAGCATGGAAATTGGATGAAGTTTACTGCAAAATCTTCGAATTGAATCAAACATTGACGTCCAAATCTATCATCAGCAAAGAAGACGAATTAAGTGTCAAAAAATAATATCCAAGAATAATTGAATGTTACCTTTTAGTAACTGCTTGAACAAATTCATCGATAAAATCATCGTATTCTTTACCGGTAACACGCTTTTGTCGCAACCCCAAATAGTATTTATCGTTGAGGAGCGTCTAAACCATTTGCTTAGCATATATATATATATGTAAGCAATGAGCAAATATTCGGTTACTTCATTATTTGTGCCCACGTCGAGCATCATCGGTAAACAGTATTGAGGTGGAACACCAGCCAATGCTGTATACAAACTTAATTTACCTACAGGAATACCCATACCATTGCAACCCAAATCACCCAAGCCTAATATACGCTCGCCATCGGTAACTACAATTGCCTATATGAGCAACATAATGTTTTTTGATGTTCGAGGCAAACAAATTATAACTTACTCGAATGTCATTTTCAGGCCAATTGATTATAGTATCGTAAATATGACCTTTGTCATGAATCGATAAAAACAGACCTCTAAATAATAAATATAAGTATCACTTTTAATTATTCATGCTTTTATTTTGTTCAGCGACGCACTTCGGTTTTGCAAATATCAAACCATACTTCTGACAGGCCAATCCGACAGTCGGTGTATAGACCAAAGGCATAGTCTCTTGCGTATGCTGCGTGATTACACGATAGAATAATGTCTCGTTGCGATCTTGTAGAGCAAGTAAAGAAATGTATCGTGATAAATCATCGGGCATATGACGCAAATTCTCCATAAATCGTTCGACTTGTAAATCAATAGTGGCAATAGAAGGTGGCAAAAGACCATGAATACGCAATAATTGTCGTTCTTCGATTGTGAAAGCAGTACCCTACAAAACGAGAAACATACTGATTTATCATATAACGTTCAAGAATCTCACTTACTTTGTCAGTGCGTTCATTGAGCAAGACATCACGACCAGTCAGAAAACGATGAGACGATGTTGATCTTCTGTCAGTTGTATCAATCTTATGTCTCTCTAGAAATACAGTAGGACTCATGTTATGATATTCACAAAAGATAAAATATGAATCATACATCAATGCATTTTTTTATCTACAGAAGATCTCTCATTAGTGAAGCACATAGGCACAACATTAAAAAAACATACCAATGAAGTGCACTGCTGAAGTAGAGAAGCTACGAACACCAATATTTAATATAGAGAATCCTACTGATAAGGATATTGGCATTAAACGTGTGATGGTAAGCATTTTGTCGTCGTCGAAAATAAAGTAATCGATGTTGGTTGCCTCTCCTTTTACACCTATCGCTGTTGAAGCAGACGAAAATGTTTTATTCTTTTTTCTCTTTCTGTTCTGTAACTAAAGAGGTCAACGTACAAAGAAAAGAGAAACAAAACGAAGTGCAGCTTCGCATAACCTTGCGTATAAAAAAATAAGAGAGACAAGAAGAATGGCAAACGCTTTTGTTCTTGATTTATATTTGTATCCTATCTATTCCAGGTGCAATTATAACTAGCTAGAGTGAATTTTTTAGTTGAAACTAATTTTAAATCCTATTCATTTTCGTTTTTGAAATAAAATTATTTTTAAATGCCTCTCTACGTATGACTACCAACGACTCATGTTATCAGATAAAAATTGAAGACAATTTTCATATTTGTACAGCTTCCGAACGTTTAATTTATTTCAGCGATCGAAATTACGAGTGAACTAGATACACATGACAAGTATTTTAATCATGAATGAAAAATATGACGAACTAGAGTTATTTTGAAGTTTAACTACCAAAAACTACTAGAAGGTAATTGCACCAATAATTAAGACACGCCATCTATTTATCTTTTCGCCATTCATTCATATGAGAGTGTTGGGTCACTCTTCGACTAGACACTATGACCTCAAAAACGATAATATCTGTCTACTCACTCTGTCCTCTATTCACTATTTTCTCTCTCATCTTCTCTCGTATATAAACTCATGTTCTACATGAAGTAGATTCAACTAGAGTGATGAGCTAGTATAATGAATTTCTCTACCAAGAATAGCGGTGACACTACTCCTTCAGTTTGTCAACATTGATCATAATAAAATACTGCAGGGACCATTTAAATTTACTCCTTTGGTTTTTTTAAAATTTTTATCACTATACTTCTTTAGTGTACTAATTTACTATGTATCGCGAGAAAGTTTGAAATATGCTTCATCTTTCCGTATATTTTAATCGAACATCAAATTCAGTTTGAAGTATTAAAAAAATCTATGAAAAAAAACCTTTTTTTCTATTACAATGTGCAGCGCAAATTCAATGAATTTCGTCTGTTCGTTACTTTTATCTCATTAAATATATATTGGATTAGTTCTGACGACTTACAGCGCATATTTAGACAGTATTCTATTTATAAAAATATTTACAGGAGTTAGACAAGCAATTATCAATCAATGGATCACTGATACATTAGCATCAACAATGAGTCGATTAGATATCGACAACATTTATTTTTATCTGCGATAAAAACCATGCTCATAATGAAGTGGGTATGATTCAAGCATCACGAACTGTTAAATGTAAAATGGTTAAGAAAATTCCATATATGATCAAAGCGTTCGCAAACATACCTTCCACCACTTCAAAATCCATTATGAGATTTTTTTAAAACAAATTATTCGAAATCAACATTCATTGTCTATCATTGATATACCTTTACTGCTTTAAGGGTACCCCTCCTCGCTCTTTTCGGGGTTTCTTGAAAACGGTTCATCAGAAAAATTTGAAATTTTCAGACCCGATACACCTTGATGAGTAAAGCAAAAGTTGTCATAGACTCAAAAGTCCCTGATGCTGTCTTCTATGAGAGAATAGGCTCGAAATGTCGAAAAATGGCCCTAAGTTTTCGCCCCCGTTTCTCCAAGACGGTATGTTCAATTGAGCTGAAAATTATTTTACAGGTACTAGAGAATGTTTGGGGTGGGTAGTTTTTTTAGTTTCTTTTTATCTTTTGTCGTTTCAATAAAAAAGTCAAAATACTAAGCCTACCCTAAAAACGCTTGTTTTTATTCATCTAGCAAATTTTGTGCAAGCTGTCAAAAATCACCAGAGCAATAATTCTTGAAAAAAAAAATACCCACCCCAAATGGTGACTAGAAGATGTGAAAAAAGTTTCAGCTCGATCTCTCTTACCATGTCGGAGAAATGGGAGGAAACACTTTTTTTTCTGCTAAAAATTTGATTTTGAGAAAAACGCAAAAAAATATACAATTTTAGCTATTTTCATTATGTAAATTTGATTTCTTTTCGAATTTTTTAATCTTTAAAGACAATTGTTGGGTTCCAAAATATAGTCAATAGATAGACACTACTTGAAACTATACAATGACCACAAAAAAACAAAAATTTTGGGCTAGGAAAGGGCGGGGGGGTACCCTTAAGGCAAGTTTCATTCTGTACCTAAACAAGAAATCAAAATATGTGCTTATCATGGATGTTATTTAATATATAGTACTAACGATTTTATGACAAATCTTAAGATTGTTTTTATAGTTTGTTTTTCAATTACAATCGAGAGATTGATGTCCGTTGTAGTAAAAAAGAATGTCACTTTTCTTTCTCATATATTTTTCACACTTTAAACTGCATTTGGTGACCAATATAAATATAACAAAAGATGTGGCGCATGCTGGGTCTCCTAGTTATATAGAGTAAGTGAATGAATAAAAGAAATATAATAATAAAAACAAAGTCAAAGAAAGCAATGGGGAGAAGTTCAATTGGCTCCTGCAGTATTAAATGCATTGGTATCGGAATAAGCCATTTCTCTTCGTCATTTTCGTTACAATAATGAACTACAAGTGTAGAATCAATAAGAAATTGCGACATTCACTACTTTTCTACAGTAAGAGAGTGAAAGAATGAGTATAAATATGCATGCGTGTCTCTCGCCAACAACCATACATACTCAACACTCTGCGAAGAAAGATTGTAAGTAACGAAATTGAATTGAAGCATCACTTACTACACATTTACGAACCTTCAACGATTTGATCATAGCATTCGTGTACAATGTAATGTGTAGAAACATGAACGACAATAATTTTATGAATATCGAATAAATACATCGTTAGTAGATTTGTTCAGTTGTTAATCTGTCTATGATGTAAGTTATTCTAATGATGGAAATAATTGATTTATTTTCAGAATTGATGATGTTTCAGAACAAAAGTTTTCTTCTATTTTTGCGAAAAAGTTCTTTTGTTGCATATCAGTGATAATACATTGAATCATTTTAAAACTACTCATTACTTTGCATGATAAAATAATAATCAGTTTTACTTCGACAAGGACCTACGACATTCGTTCAAGGCATTTTAATTACGATGAGCATACCGATATTATTAGGATTGAGAAAGAGCGTTCGAAGACTGAGAAGGTGTAATTGATCATATCGGAATAAGAAGGCTCAACCGTTCTTGCAAACATTGACGGGAAAAAAACGAAAAAAAAACACATTGTTGATTCCTACTGGAAAAAAATTAAAATTTTCCAAGCTCAAGTATGTCACTTCTTTGATCTTCAAACTCTGTTTCACTATTAACGATTTATCAACACAGATATTCTTAATAGTTTTTTTTTCTAACCGAACCGATATTCTCATTTAAGGGTGTGGATGTGGGCGGTGTTGTGGTTCAAGAGAAAATCGACACCCACACCCACCCTTGAATTTTTTCTCTTTAAGACCTATTCGCGGAACTCGACATGGCTTCTGTGCATCACTAGAAGACTAGCGATTAGAAAAGTGATTGCTCAGAAAGCAATAAATATTGACGTAGTAGGAAATGAAAAACAGCATTGTGGGTCCGACTGGACCCCCAAAAAGCATCCGAGGGTTAACTAACGAGGCAACATTTTCAACTGTCGTATGTTATTCGACTCTATATTTTGGCTATGAAAAACTTTCAACGCAATTAACAAATCCTTCAGAACGTCCTTATCCATGATCTCATGTTGAAGACTTAGTGACCTTCTACCTATAACAAGATATTTTCCAAATAAAAATTGTTCTATAGACAGATCTAATACTCATTAGAATACATTGATACTTTCAACAATAAGAAAGGTATCTTTCTCGAAATAGCGAGAACATAATAGTTGGATTTATTTGAAATTTGAATATTTCAAAAAGAACACATTTGCTGATGTTGAAATTTTTAGGAAATTCTAATGTTGATTAGATTTATCTATAGATAAAATTTTTTATCGAACAATAATTCTTTGTTTCTAAGACGTAGACTCTAATGTTTTTAGTCTTTTGTTAATTAGTTCTCTAGAGATAAACTTCCAGTCAAAAATATGAAGTCCAGCCAAGGGGGAAACGACGTACTCTCGTACTCCATGGACTCCAACTGGACTCCGTGGACTCCGAGAGTAAAATGAGAGTCCAGAGAGTACAATACATTGAACGTTAACGATAGATTCATAATTTTTTTAATATTCTCAATTCTGAAAGGATGAGCCTACACAACGTAAAATGCTGGTCAGGTTGTCCCAAATCTGGTTGGTCAATATTATCAACCAATCAGATTTCAGCAACGTAAAAAATCAACTGTTTTCATAAAAATTTATTTTTTATCAATAAATCTGTTTTTACATAAAAAAAATATTTTTGCAAATAAATTTCTTTTTCGTAAAAGATTTTACGAAAAAATAAATTTTTATAAAAACAGTTGGTTTTTTATATCTACAGAGCGCTTGTAAAAAGACAGCAGGAATATGCTGTTTAAAGTTCAAAGACTATTTTTGGGCAGAATCCAACTCGAGGAACTTCATATAGTGCTTAAGTGAGTGGTTAACAAAAGAATGGCACGAGGGTACAAAGAAGTGACGACGAGCTGCTCTGGTGCCTTCAAATGAAAGACGATTTCACAGGAAGTTTCCGAGGAAATATTTGATGTTTTCTTCGAGTGGCCGACTAGAATAAAAAGAATCCAAAAGATATCACCCGATCTAGGGTACCAATTGGTTTCTGAGAGTACTATGCTATTGTCCTTATTCTGTGCTTTCAGGATTGAGTCAAGCGAGGCCCAGTGGTCGAAGCGTTACTTGTTACTATTAAATTACAAAATTTCTTCGTCATATGGTTGTTTCGGGAAAACAGACTATTTTACTAACTAAAATCACACTTACTTGATTGCCATGACGAATGTATCAAAATTACACACGGTCAGACCATAAAAGAATCTACAAATATTCTTGTACTGTGAATATAAACTTCTTCGGTTTATGTATCAACATGAGAAGCATAGCTTTCGACGAAAAATCAGTCGACTAACTGGATCTCTCTATTTGTATAAGTACATAAACAACCATTAACTCAAAAATCAGTTGGTGATATGCAAGTGTTCAAAAATATTCACCTATATTCTCTGAAAAACGGTTTCATAAGGAACCAATGAGGGCTTTAGCAAAGATGTTGAACCTTTCAAGTTTCCATCTGGCCATGACTAACCCGACAAAGGTTCTAGATAATTTAAAGAACCATTCCAATAAAAAATTGGTTCCAAAAGTATAGAATAGTTCTATCCCGCACTAATTTTCTTAAGTGCTGAACTCATTTATGCAAAGATGGCTCTAGCACAGGGCGCTTGAACTACATTGAGAAAAAACTACTAACTGAGTCCTTTGCAGCTCCTCTAGGCTTTTCCAGAAATTTAAGTTACATTAAGACTCTGGTACAAATACACGAAACCTCACCCAAAGTCTTCTAATTGCATAGGTTGCGCATAAAATCCTCTGTAGGTTTCGCAGTAATCTGAGCTTCGCACTAAACTTGTGGGACTAGGATGTGGGAGTGGATGGGTGTGGGTGGGGTGGGAGGTGGGTGGGTGTGGGTGTGAGTGTGGGGTGTGGGGTGGGTGTGAAGATAAGACCGACACCCAAACCCACACACCCACACCCAAAAGATCTTTAATTGAATTTTTCGTAAAAATTTTGTTGTTTGGAAAAATATTTTTAAATTCTTCATCTCTGTTTTTAATATTGAACGTGTTTGCATATATTAATCAGTAATATTTTTTAATAAAGATGGAATAAATTTATTTCAAAATTGATATTTAAATATCAATCGAAGGGTAAATAATATAAATGTTGTTATTCTACGAATCTAAACATTAAAATCAGAATAAAAGATCAGTTAAAATCTAATTTATTTTTTCATACAAAACAAT